TAAAGGAAATATGTTTAAAATAATAAAAGCTGTAGAATTCATAATGAAAGAATGAACAGGATAGAAAAAGAACATGCATATCTGAAAAGGAACCTCCCAAACTCCTAGGAATTAAGCCTGTTGTCACTGAAATGAAGACCTCCACGGACAGGTTAATCTGCTGTGGGACCTGAACAACGGATCTGGGGAGCTTGCTCAAGATGCTGCACAGAGAGATGAGAGATGAAAAATGGGAATTTAGGGAAGAGCATGGGATGGGAGGGCCTGGCGACTGGAGCTCCAACCTGAGAGACTCAAGAGAATGGAGGAGATTTTTGAAGAGATACAGTTGAGAATTTTCCCGAATTGCTGGAGGACATGAATCTTGAGCTTTGCAGAAAATGTGTACCTCTGAGAAGCAAATGGTGTAAATAAAAATAACTCCTCGCCCCGACACACATCCCCAAGAACCTGCAGAGCCACGCCACAGTGAAGTCCAGAACACAAAGGAACCACGTCCTCACTCTGCTGCAAGAAAAGCTCAGCACAGACCACACCAGGTGAGAGCGAGGGCAAACTCACAACCTTTCCAGACAAATAAAGCCCAAGAGAGGTGAGCACCATGGGCCCTCCACGAAGGAACAACTGGAGATCCTTCAAGAAGGAAGCTGAGCCCAGAGTGCAATGCAAAAAGAGAGAGGGTAAGCAAAGTAGTGAACACACGAGTCAAATTTATTTAAGTAGCATTTGGGTGTTCAAAATAACAGCACTAGTAAAACAGGCACCTAAGTCACGCACTGGTGCAAGGAGTTCACTGGATTTAACTCCTATGAGCCCCCCCATTCCCTCTGCACCCCCCACCTCCCAGGTTCTCCGGAGCTGGCACAGCCCACCCCTCTGGGGCCAGACTGACTGAGCATGTAGAACCTCCCCAGGGCCACAGCCCGAATGGGCCATCAGTCACTTAAGTACCTGGAGTTTCTAGATAATTCTGGGCTCTGGCATTTCAAGTGACCACTGGAAGGACCAGAAAACAACATCTGAAAGTCTATAGCACTAAGTCCCCTTGGGGAAAATGTGACCAAGAGTACACAGGAGACAGAGGGATTCAGCAGATGGACCCCCTCCTTGCCGTCTCTCTGCTGTCCATCGGGAGAAGCCCTGAGCACCTGGGGATGCATCTACGGGCAACCCGTTGGGCCTCTTTGAAACTTACTCAGAAGCCGTGGGCAGCACAGAAACTTCCCCTTACACAACATATCAGGGGGTTCTCAAAGCCAGGTTCCTGGTCCAGCATCTCTGGGGAACTTGTTAGAAATGCAGATTCTCAGCCTGCTAGGTAACAAGTCTTCCAGGTTGACTCTGATTGGGCACGATCAAGTCTGTGAACCTCCTGGGAAGAGCACACACAGCCCAATTAAGTTATTTAGGTACATCTGAATGAACTGTAAGTGTTGGAGCATTCAGGTGGGACTTGTGATAAGCTTTAATACTGCTCGCTAAATGTTTCTGGCCCTCTGCTTTCAAGACTAGCTGCAGCCCTCTTCTCTCTCCACCAGCACCTTAGTGCATTCCAGAGAGCGGCTGCTCCATCAGCTGAGGCCCTGGGCTAAAGTTGGCAAGGAACTGACCTCAGCTCGCCTACAGCAGGCACAAGATATGAACAAGAAAAAAAAATGCTCTTTTAAGCCACTGGGATTTAGGTATTGTTTGTTACTGCAGCATAACCCAGCCTATCCAGTCTGTTACTAGGCTGATATTTTCAAAGAGCACATCTTCCCAAAGTGCCTTGAACCCCATCGCCTAGGTGACAGTCTGTTTTACCAAGACATAAAAGCTATGCAAAGACAAAGATACTCACAGCACTGTCTCAAATGAAAGAAGAAAGACACTTATGCTCAGTGGTCTTCAGGAAATCTTTGATGCCTGGTGACCAAGGTGGGGGCCAGGAGCCAGCCACTTCTGCAGATAATGGGAGGGGAAAGGTGTGTACTGGGAAGGAGGCAAGGGGCAGGTCTGATGTGATCTCCACATCCCTGATGAGGACAGCTGTTCTGAGGAGGAGGAAATGCTACTAAGGAGACCAACACAGTGCCACTCTGGATCTGTGTTGAGCTCTGTGTTTTCCAGGACACTCTCACTATTTCTTCTCTTCCTCCTTCCATGCACAGGATGGTCCATCCTATCCCAGTTGGTCCAGAGAGGCCAAGGGACTTGCACAAGATTGCGCAGCAAGTTACTGACAGAATCACCCAAGGCTTTCCCTCCCAGGCCACTGTCCTACTGCCTGTTAGAAACATGTTTCCAGGAAGATGATTTGGAGAGAGGGTGACACTCCCCCTGCCCCTGCCCAGAACTCAGGAGTTATTCTTGTGCAGGGTTCTCCTTGGGACTTTTAGCGTCAGACGTGTTCTTAAGAAGCTGGAGGTTCTCTGGCCCCTGGGAGGAGGAAGGAGAAATGCAGGGGCAGGGGAACCAGGTTTTCAAGCTTTTCACCTGGTACCCAGGCCCTGAGCACAGTCTTGACCATCTTACTAACACTTCTCCCTCTCACACGCTCCCTCGCCTGGGCCTGTCTCTCTGGTGGACAAGTGTTGACATCTGAGCGAGCTGGAGGCTCCCAGCCCTTTCCTCCCATCCCAAGAAGCAGGCGGGTGCTGATGACAGCTAACGTCCACGTGCTACGGGCTGCATTGTAACCCTCCAATGCCCACTTGCCGAAGGCTTCACCCCGACACCTCAGACCACGACCTTACTTGGAGACTGGGTCTTACAGAGGTAGTTAGGTCAAAATGAGGTCATCAAGGAGGCTCCCAATCCAACACGACCATGTTATTATAAAAAGAAGACATTTGGAGACACACTCAGGCACACATGCCATATGGAGATTGGGGTTACCCTGTCGCAAAGCAAGAGGCTGCCAGAAGCCAGGAGAGAGGCCTGGGACAGATCTTCCCCTGGCGGCCAGCCCTGCCCACTGACTCTGACCTCCCGAACTGTGAGCCCATGAACTACTGTCTTAGCCACCAGCCTGTGGCTCTTGGTAAAGCTGCCTGGGAATTTAATGCTCCCGCCTGCGCCTAACCTAGCCAGCCTGCCTGTACCCTTCCAGCCCACGCCCCGCCTCAGCTGGCACTGAAGAGGTTCCCTCTCCTCCCCACCCCGAGACGTCAAGTCAGCCCATCCCTCATGATCCAGCCCAATGTCCCATGAAGTGAGCGCAGGTCACATCACTCTCTTCTGCCTGAGTGGGTCTGTCTGTCTGTCTGTCTCACACCCAGGCTCTGGCTGTTGGGGATAGCTTTGCAGAGAGTTCATCCTGCCTTGCCCTGAGGACGCAGACTGCGCAGGGCAGGAGCCACACCTCATCCTCCCCGCACATGCACATCCGCTGTCCTCTCCTGGGAACAGACCCAGTCCTAAAAGTGGCTTTCCAAGCTCAGCTTCCTGGTGGACCAGCCATGGCCACCAGCCGCTGGAGCTTACGTAAGGAGTAGGTCAGGAGGCTAAGAAGTCCCTTCCCAGTCAGCAAGACGGGGCCCTGCAATCAGGACACTTGGCACGCCAGCCCAAGCTTTTTCCCAGCATCCACTCGTGGGAATCCGGCAGGGCATGTGCTCGTCCATCCCGGAGCCTTGTGCTGACACCCAGACTCCTTTATAACTTCCTGAGGCCATCGCCGTGCCCTGGCCTTGGGCAGGCCCCACACGTCCACCCTGCTCGGGCTTTATGAGCTCACGAACTGCCTGACCTGCTTCACTCTGCGTGGGCAGAGCCGCTGCAGAGCTCCGTGCTGACCTCGCTTCTGCCCCCACGTCCCCAGAGTCCCCCATCCCAGGTGAGGCACAGCCAGGGACTAGTCCTCGCTCAGTTCTCTGCCTGTTCCTGAGAAACAACCTTTGGGACTTGCTTTGAGTGAATTTCTTTGCATTTTTCCTACAAAAGCCATCACTATTGAACCCACTTGCAGAAGCATTTTTCATTCATTCCTGCAATGCTATTAGAATCGAGCTTCTCCAGCATCAGGGGTGATGTGACAACAGGAGGGGGAACTGTCATTTCATTCCCGAGAAAAACCCGCTCACCCTGCCTGAATCCCCTCTGCCCAGCCCCCTCTGCCCACCTGGATGGCAAGGAGGAGGCAGGACTCTCCACCTGAGAGCAGAGGCTTTGGGATGGGGTCACCTCTCTGGCACTAATTACAAGCCTCCCAGCTGCTCTGACAATCAAGGACACACTTACATGCCACTGGACAGTCCCCAGGTCCCATTCCACTGGGCAGTGAGTGGGAAAAGTCCCTTAGACTCTGGCAGGACCCACAGTTGTTGTCCCAGGGAGGTGAAGTGACTGGCCCAAGCCCACGTGGCAGGCACGCAGGGACCAGAGACCCCACTCCCGGGTGCTTCCCACTGTACCACACTGCTCCACCCAGAGGGCTGTAGCTCTTCTCTTCCTGGGGGACACTAAGGCTTCTGTTCTCTGAGCCGACACAGGGTAAGAGGTGACGCGTGTCTTCCACGCACTGTCTTTACCCAGTGTCCTCCAGTTCTTTGTGGAAATCCTCCTGGCTCTGATCCCTCTGGTCTGCCTTATCCCTGCCATCTTCTTCTTGGGGACTGTGGTTTTGCCATCTGATGCGGCAAGCTTCCTCCCTCCCTCTCCTGCCTCCAACAAAGCCTGCTTGGGCACCTGCGACAGCCTAGGCCCAGTACCGGGCACTCAGTGCTGCTCCCCTCTGTCCCCTAGAGGGCCCGCTCTAGAAAGCTCCACCTCTCCCCTGTCCCCATCGGGGCCTGAACTGCCCGGCTCCCATCCACCCCGTGAGGAGGTGGATCTGATGGCCGAACCCTTGCTAACTAACGTGCTTGCACTAAACCCACCACCCTGTCAGCACACGCAGCAGACAGAGACTTCTGGTGCTCTGGGGTCAGCTGGGGCCGACAACAGCCCTGTCTCTCTCCCCTTCCCCTCCCACCCCGCCCACCCGCACTCAGGCCAGGGGAGCAGCAGCCCCTACGTACGTATGCAGAAGTCTCCGTTCTCGTAGTAGCCAGGGCAGCACTGGGACCTCCGCCGGTACATGGTCCGGAGGCCGCGCCGATACGCCGTCTTATAACTGATCCTAAGGCACAAGGGAGAAAGCCACGTGAGGGCATTGAAAATCAATGGCTCCCGTTTAGGGTGATATTTGTGTTAAGCTATATGGAGGATGCCATTCAATAATTACTCTGAAATGCACAGCGGCTTTGAATATGAAGGAACACAATAAAGAAAAATCAATGGCGGGGTCTGTGCCACTGAGGAGCCGAGCGCACTGCGAGCAGGGCCAGTGGCTAACCAGTGGCTTCCAGATCTCTTCTACGCAGAAGGACCAAGGTGGACACAGTCTGGCTTGACACGGTGGCGGGCAGCCGTGGGCTTCACTTGGTTCCTTGACACTTCCAGATTCTGGGCTGGAGGAGCCCATGGAGGCCAGACAGGAGTCAGGCCCTGAGAGTTGCTGGGCCCACCCCGCCCTACTCCTGGACCTGGGGTCTGGGCTGCCCACTCAGAGAACTGAAGCAAAAGGACCCACTGAGTCCTACTCTGTCCCTCATAAATCTCCCTCACCCCCCAAATAACAGCTCCTGGAGAGCCTCACGTGCTCTCCCCGGGAATCTCTAAACCTCACACTGCAGAGGAAGGGGCTGGGCCCAGAGGGCAGGAGGCACCCCAGCCTGGGACCCAGGGACCTGGGTGCTAGTCCCTGGGCACAAGTGTTAACGCTTGGTCCTGTCCCAATAGCCCCTGAGGCAGCCACGTTATAATGCCCTATTTATGGGCGCTCTTTTACTACTTGTTTAGAGTTTTTATTTTACATTAGCCCATAACCCCCACCCTTTGTTTTATGGATGAGAAAAACTGAGATTCAGAGAGGTTAATGACTTGCTTGTGGTTACACAGCTAAAAAGCATCAGATTCAGGATTCAAACCCAGGTCACCCTAATTTCAAAGCCACAAGGCCCCACTGGCTGCTCTATGCCAGTCCTCTCAGGGTGGCTCTCGGGCCCTGCAGTGGGTCATGGTGAAGGAGTAAGGCAAGGGAAATAGGGATATATAAGGACAGAACCCTGAGGAGGGAATCAAAAGCCCCTTTGTCACAAGTAAAGTTAAAGTGGAGGAGATTTGATGGGGCCATCAGAGACCAGAGAGGGGAAGTAACTTGCTCAAGGCCATGGAGTTCACATAGGACCAGCCCCAGGTCCCCGGGCCTCAGAGTCAGGGCTCTTTCTGTCCCCCTCAGACTCACAGGCCCTGCCCTATGGACCCCTCCACAGTAGCAGAGCAGCAGGGGCGGAGGTGCCCACAGCCTGCCTCCTGCAGAGGGTGGGCCAGGTGGGGAAGGGAGTCCCCCCAGCACAGGCCCAGACAACCTCCCAGTCCTAAAGCTCTCGCTTCATGACAAATGACAATGCAGGCCTCAGGGAAATCTGTGATATTTGGGAATGTCTTGAGCTAAGGTCATTCTACTTCGTCAAAAGCCCATAATGGAAGGTAAGCCGGCCTCCCAGGGAAGCAGCTTCCTCTGCACAGGAGGCAGTATCGGGGGCTGTGTGAGCCTTGCAGATAAAGAATGAATGACTCCATCCCAGCACCGGAAAGAAAATGACTCAGAGGAGTTTGACTGAGAGGTCATCATTCGGTCCATTGTCCCCACCAAGTTGGAGTACCCTGAGCCCTCCCAAAGGGGAGGTGGGCTTGGCATCGTTAACATGAATGCCTGTGAGGAGAGAGATGCCACCCCTTGTCTCTGGCTCCCCTTCCTGGTTTGTTCCCCCTGTGGGAAGCAGGACAGGGCAGGGCCATGGGCCAGGCTGCTTTCAGGAGAAGGACCCTGAGCAGACGGATGGTGCCGCTTTCAGCATGCACACTCCGGGTCATTGGGAGAGTTGCAAGTCGACTCGAAAATTTAACAAAATAATTCATGTTCTGGGAATATAACCTGTTTTAATAAGCAGCCATTCCCTCACCCATGCCTAGGGGTGATGGACGGCAGCTGTGGCCTCCAAGTATCCAAAAGAGCCACACTCTGAGCAAACCTGGCTCTGGCACAGGGATGCCAGGGAGCAGGGGAGGAGCAGGACTCCCATCTCTACCTTTGACCAGGGCCACAAGCAACCAACTCTGGTAAACCTGGGGGAGGTTAGAGGGAATAGTTGGCCCCATCTCCACATCTCAGGTTCAAAGGCTAGAGGAGGGGGATGTGGTCATGGCTGAGTAGCTCCTGTTAGATCAACCTTTTTGCAACTAACAACTATGAAATCTGGAGGAAAACATAAAAAGCAACTCCTTGGAGACATTAGAGAGAGAATAAAAGTAGAGGTGAGTGGACACTTTTTTTTTTTTTTTTTAATGTGCTGATGTTGGGATTGAACCTAGGGCCTCATGAATGCTAGGGAAGAAGGGAATGGCCCCAAGCAGAAACAATAGCTCAATAATACTCCCAGTGACTAAAATTCAAACAGAAAACACACAGTCTTACTATGGATGACTGGGGTTCCAACCTGAGGGGACCATGGGGTGTGGCATAGATGTGCTTCATGGCTGTGCCCTCCACCATCAGGGTGGGGAAGCTGGGGTGTTCATCTACCAGCTCCCCATCTGTCCCTGGCTGAAGATGCCCCCAAGGCCATTAACTCTCTAGCTTTTCTGGCTGCCCTGCCCTCACCAGGCTCCTCTGGCCAGAAAGCAGCGGCCAGCCTTGCACCTCAGGCATTCAGTGTGCAGAGAGTGGCAAGGGGGCTCCGGAGGTGAGTGGTGACATCTGCTCCGGGGTGTTTTTACTAACTTGCACCAAGGCAAGCCATGAGGACCTGCACCCTTCCTGCCCCATCATCTGAGAGAGGTACTCACCGGTGCCGGGTGCACTTGAACCAGTTGAGGATATCTGTGCATCGCGTGTAATAGATCTGATCAAAGGGGTGTGCATACGACTCCTGGACAGTCACGGCGTAGCTGGGAACCAGACAGGGCATAGGAGCCATGGTCAGCATTGGACAGGATGACTGACCTGAAGTCAGGATGCTGCCTCCCTCCCCAGACTCACCCACCATAGCCCTGAGGCCACTCCCCAATCTCCCCCGCTACCTTGGATGCCCCCAGTATGCAAACCTCCCTGACCCTAGGCTGGCCCCAGGACACATCACATCCCTTACTGACCTCTGGCCCAGCTAATTTTCTAAAATTCTAGCTCATTTTTTCATTTGTCTGAGAATGAACAAAGGAAGGTTTAGGTTTATATTGTATGGTTCTGGAAGGCAGGGTTGACAAATTTTTTAAAAAATATTTTATGTAAGCCAGGCACAGTGGTGCATGCCTGTAGTCCTATTATCTGGGAGGCTGAGGCAGGAGGATCACTTGAGCCCAGGAGTCCAAGGCTAGCCTGGGCAACATAGTTAAGACCCACTTCTAAGACAAAATTATATATGTATATAAATAAATATTCAGATACATATGTTAAATGTTTTTTCAGATTTTTGTCATTTTCAAAAAACATGTATGGAAGCTGATCTTGGTAGTAACCCTTTGAAATAAGTTGCCCCATTTTATAGATGAAGAAACTGAGGCTCAGAAAGGCAACTTGCCCAGGTCACTCAGCTGGTATCAACTGCTAATATTTATTAAGTGTCCTGTGTTAAATGTTTTAATTCCTTTTAATTCTCAGACAACCTTATGAAATAAATGGAATTATTGTTCTCACTGTAATAGACAATGAAACTGAGCCTCAGCTAGCGTAAGTGACTTCCCCAGATTCCCCCAGCGACTCTCTAGCCTATTCTACCTCTGGTGCATTTGGGGACACATCAAGGACATGCCCTCAAACCTCCTGATAGGAGAGGTATTCTGTCCATCTACCTTTTAGCTGTAAATCTGGACCTGTGGGTAGAAGCCATAGGGAAACAGATCTCAGCTTAACCAAAGTAAGCCTTCCTCCTGTCCCGCTGGTGGGGTGGTGTGAAATGGCACCTCCTATGCAGGCTGTAGCACACCCAGCTGAGGGCTCAGGAATTCATTTGAAGTAGATTGGTCTTATTCAGTGTTTCCCCCAGAAGGCGCCTGACCTGGGCCAGATGGCCAGGTCCAGGCTCTAAAAGCCTGTCTGCTTTGCCTGAGGACACTGTGTTGGATCGTTTGCACGGGTGCTGGGCTTGTGTGGGTACACAGCAGATTCTCAAATGCCTCAAAGGTCAAAGGTCTGGAATTCAGCAGGAGACAATGCTCAGGGACCTGGGTGGTGGGAAATTCTACTGGATGTGCTAAGGATGTAAGAAGGGCTCTTGATATGTCCCCGCCGGCTGGCATGCTGGAGAGGCGCCAGAGGCACAAATCTATTCAGACACAGCCGGAACCTCGGCTCATCTCCAGGCTTAGGGAAACTGAGGCCTCTCCAACTCTGAAAATCCATGGCACTGTGACACATCTCCCAAGTGCCTCACTGAGAGGCGGGAGAATGCCCGGGGCAGAGTGCCAGGCTCTGAAGCCTAAACTCATGGGGCCACGAGTGAAGTTTGTCGCTTGTTAGCAGCACATCCTTGCATGTGTGTCTCAACTCCTGTATTATCAGAGACTTCATGGGATTATTGTAAGGACTAAAGGAGAGCAATAATGATATCTATCTATCCCTTAGCATGATGGGAAGATAAAACAAGATAATACGTATAAAATGCTTGCCAGGAACACAGTAAGTGTTTAACAGATGTTGGCCATCATCATGATGACAGGCAACGTTTTACTTCCTGTGTCATCACAGAAGGAGACTTCCTCCTTGACCAGAGCGGAGGACAGAGGAAGCAAGACCTGCACTCAGAGCGAGTCCCCACCTTTGTTAAGCACTTGGGGGTTCCAACACTGAAAAGGACAGTGGCTGCTCAGAAGAAAGGCACTAGCTCAACAGAGAGAGAGATGGGGTGTCAGGCAGAGATGGACCCAGCTCTGCAGGATGCCCTGGGCTGACTGAGTCTGGCAATGAGACCTTGTACAGACTCCAAGTCTCTGACCTGAAGTGTGTGTCCCAGCTTCATGGCTGGGTGGTTTAACACTCCTCATTTGCCAACATGCTAATGAGGGGGCAGATTAATCTTGTAGAGCCAGGCTTTACTAGCCAGGGGAGGTCTCCACACTGGGTTTTATGGTGGAGGGGCATAATTAATGAGGAGCCCGCCAGAAGCACTAATCCAGCTGGGAAATTCTCCCTAAGCGGTCTCTGAGGACCGGGTGTATTTCTGGAATGACACAGGCTAGATCTGTGCATGTATAACTGTCAGTCGAGCTCCGTTGGAAAAGTCGAGAAGGAGGCACCGTGGTGTCAGCAGGCAAGGCCTCCCTGCTGCAGCAGGAGGAGCCCAGAGGTCCCCAGCCTTAGCTACGCTCCTGTCTGCTCGCTCAGGCTGCAGCTTCAGCTGATGGTCTTACTCGCCCATCCCAAGGCCCAGCCCAATATTTTCACATTCCAAATGCATTCATGGTGCCAAGGTTTAGGAAATTAAGAATTTGGTTTATGTTTGAACAGATCCACTGGTAGAAATGGGACTGTGAGAAGAGGAAGTCAGTGTGGGCCCTGCCATTAGGAAAGGCTCCCTGGAAAAGAAGACCCCTGGCCACACACAGAAGTGGGCAGATGGAAAGGGGGTGTCCTAGGGCCTGACTGTCATACAGGAAGCACTGGTCCTCTACTGAGCCACATGATGGAAGTGCTTAGCTGAGGCTGGAGGCCAAAAGACTAATGGGAGGCTCTACCTGCTACCTCCCTGACCCACTGGGAAATAAAGGCTTAAATTCACCGAAACCAGAGGGGCAAGGGGCCTGAGTAGACCTTGGAAACTCATGGAAAGCTTATGAAAAATGTGATATTGGCTCAGAATCCCTGGGGCTAGGCCCCCAGACTGTTTTCGCACCCCTCCCCCACAGTGAGTCTAGTGTGCGTAGGTCTGTGATACCAGTTCCTGCAGCCAGAGTTGTCAGGAAAAGACAAAAACGGAGCTTTATGGTCCTCAGAGCACTTTAATGACACTGGTGGCCTTGATCCTCCAATGAGGCTGTGGGGCAAGAGTAATTTCTCTCCCCACTGTCAGAGCTGCATGTGGGCTCAGAGTGGCTCAGAGACTTTCCCAACATCATAGAGCTAAAGGTAGAAAAATCCAGGTTGGAATGCACTGCGGTCTTTCCACCACCCCTCTCCTATGCTTCCTGGGTTTCCAGACCACTGCCTTTTGCTCCAGTCTCCCCTCTGTCAGGCTGCCACTAGAACATCCTGTCACAGCAGATCACTCTAGTGAGGCACTGTCCCCATGCCTCCCACCCAGTCCCTCCTGGCCCACAGGTGTCCAGGACACAGAGCTGGCCATTCACCATCATAGGCAGGGAGCGGGCACGGCCCAACTCGCCTCCCTCCTCTATCATCTGCTTCCCCCACCCCACATCAGGCCTTCATCTTAATTTTATTCATTTGATTTATTAGCATCTAAGTGGCAGAGTCGTCCTGGTCAGCACAGCCAATCAATTCCAGGGTTTAATTCGGTTTTTCCTGATTGGGTCTCTGGTCACTGTCTTTCTGCTCACCAAAATCAATACTTTAACCTTGTGCTTCAAAGTCAGACCATCTGCAGGGAACCAGCCCGTTCCCCAGGGCTAAGGCAGTAGGCAGCCTGCTCTCCTACTGTGCCCTCGGGCACCCTTCCTCTGGAAGCCCTCTGCCCCCACCAGAACAGAAGCAACAGGGCCACTCCCCTCCTCAGGGCAGGCTGCTGGCCACCCAACCAAGCTGCCATATTGCTGCCAGTCCCTGGAGACCAGATCAGGCACCCCCAGCATATCAGAGAGCAAGACAGGTGGGATCCTGGTCCACTTCCTGTCATTTACTGTACCCCACCTGGCTGTGGACGGAGACTACACTCCTCTGGGCCTCTAAGTCCCTGAATGTAAATTGAGTGGGGAAGGCCAGGACTGGACTGTCCCCTGCACTGTCCACTGCAGTTCATCTAAGTCGCCTCCACTCTGACTTCCCCCAGTGCTGGGCTCAGAAGAAATCCACACTGCTCAGCCCTGTCCTCCTGCACCTGAGCTGAGCCCCCAGCTGGACAGCAGGCCCTCTGTGGACAGCGGCAGCCTCTCCTGATGCTGCTCTGGCCCCCATGATGCCAAGCCCAGGGCGAGCCCCTCGGAGTGCCAGCTCAGCCTCCGCTTCTTACCTCTCCCAGTGGCTGCACACATTGGGGTCCTCGGGGTTCAGAGCGAGGGTGGCTTGCAGGAGGAAGGAGGCAGCCAGGCCCGCCACGAAGAGCGCCATCGGGGCCCTGAGTGGAGAACAAAGGAGGCAGCTCGTTACTCAGACCGTGTGGCCTGGCATCTGTCTGGCACCAAGACTTCCCACAGGAGCCCGCAGAACAGGCCTGCCACACACACGCTTCCATCGCGTGGGGTAGTGAGCATTTGATATTTTACGCTTGTGGGCTTGACTAACGCCATAATAGTCCTCCAGTTCTGAGTAAGTGGAGTGTGGGAAGCCTGACTCAGAGAAAAGCCCATATTCCCAGCCAGGGGCTCCGAATGGTTTTTGGCTCAGGGACTGCTCCAAGATGAAAGTTATAGACCTAACAAAAGTTAAAACCCTTCTACCCTAGAAAAATGCCCAAACACACTAATTTGGCTATAGTTTCAGGATGTCCTGAGGTCCCTGAGGCCTGGACCCAAGAACTCTGGGATCTGGCCTACTTGAGAGGCAGCAGCCCCCCCCCCCCGCCCCTCTTCCTCATTTTTGACCAGCCTTGCCCATCCGCTCCCTCTCCCTCCTCCCTCCTGCTGTGTCAAAAGAGAAGAAAGGGGGCAGATGTGGCCCACAAGGGCTGAGCCAAGAAAGTCCTTCTGGACGGCCCTGGTCACTGGCTGCAAGAGTGCACCCTACAGATATCGGCTACCTACACCTCACACGGGGCAAAGGTGTCATTTCCACTGTGGACGAGGACTGAGACACCCCCATAACAGGTCTGTAGGGGATTGGCCTCTAGCATTTGCTTCAGACTCCTAAAGGGACAGCATGTGGCCAGTGTTCAGTGTGCACACTCAGGTTTCAACCCCTTGTTCCCTAAATGGGGGATGTCCCCAACACAGGCTCCTTGAAGAAGATACAGAATAATTTGAATGGGAGTGGCTGAGAGGACCTGAGATTCCTTTCCTGTGCTGGCACTTCAGGACTCCACAGTTCTGCAGCCACAGAGAACAGATGCCAGTCCCAGGGCTCCCATCTGGTGGGTGGCGGACTTTAGGGGTGGGGACAAGGGGGTCACCTCCAGGGGAGCTGGAATTCGTGAATCCCAATGTCATCTGAAAACTGAATGAACACCATGACTCATAAAGATAGCACTATTTTTCATGTGTACACTGATGTGAGTGTGATTTATTTAAACGCTTTACTGCATTCAGAGTAGCTTTTCTTCTCAACCAGGGATACTTTCAAAATGCAACTTCTAATAACAGGGGGATGGGGGTGTTCTAGAAAATATTTTGATGTTGAACAGGGGTCCCCAGGCTTGAAATGGTTGGGGATCTAGCCCCCTGGTCCTGAGTTTCCACATGAGGAACACATCCTCCCTGGGGGCGGATAGGAGAGCCATGTATTTTGTATACACCCCCAATTGTCCCCAGAGCGCAGCTCCATGGAGCTCCTTCCTTCTGAAAGGTTCATCACACTCCTCCTACCCCAATAATTTCCTTGTTAAACCCTTTCTCAGTAGCTCCTTCAAAGATAAACAAATTGTCACAAATTCTGTATAACCATAGGGGTCCAAATTAATGATTAATGAGGTTTTACTTTCTATTTGAGATCTGGAAGTCAAGTAGCTAAATGCAGATTAGCCAGATTCAAATGCCTGCTGCACATCCCCTAGGAGAGAGAAGAGTGAAGTTGATGCTCTTGCTCCATTGCAGAGTCCAAGAACCCCGGCTGCTCCCGGTCATCCCCCCGCACTCACTCGCCACCCAACCTGGCTTGACAGACGCGCTCTGCACCTCAGTAGCTGCCCCACACAGGGCTGCTGAGGATCCCAACGATCATGTCACTCCCCTCTCCTTCAGGAGATTCAACTAGACATAAGAAACCTGACCAGGACAGGGTGTCCAGGGTTGGGGAGGGGCAGGAGGGGCACAGGCATCTTCTTCCAGGGGAGATTCAGGCTGATCGGGCATCAAATGAACAAAGGAGTGACACAGTCCTGTGGAAGGCAGGAATTCAGAATGCCAACAGTGGAGAATCCCTTGGTGGCCCTGACTCATTACTTGGGCAGTTCCTGTTATTGCCAGCATTCTCCCCAGAGGACCCCCCAGGTAGCATTGACAGACTCTCTAAGCTTGAATATCAAGCTACCTGCAGAAGAGAAGATGGATCCTCAGTTCCTTTTGACCCATGATGATGGGAGAGGGAGGTAACTTAAATCTTTGCTATAATTTGCTAGATCTTTCTAAATCTTGATGAAAACCTTTCTCTCACCAGACGCAGTGGCCCACGCCTGTAATCCCAGCAACCTGGGAGGCTGAAGCAGGAGGATGAGAAGTTGCAGGCCAGCCTCAGAAACTTTGCAAGACCCTGTTTCAAAATAAAAATAAAAAGGGCTGGGGATGTGGCTCAGTGGTAAAATGTCCCTGGGTGCAATCCCCAGTACCAAAAATAGAAAATAAAAAAGAAACCTTTCTCTCTAAGTCAGGTCTAGACGGGACAGTTCAACAGCTTTCCACTGACAGGGAGATCCCTAGAGACCAGGGAACAGAGAGGGTGATGGATGTTTGGATGAGCACTCAAAAAGTGGAGAAGGATGGAGGGGGGAGCACAAGACACAGCCAAGGGGGTGGCATTTAGACACAATCTGAGGTCTGGCTTCCACACTCCTCAGATCATTAGCATGACTGTGGCAAGATTTGCAGAGCTGGGGGCTCCCCAGGATTCACACCCAAGTCTTGAACAGCATGTTGACTATCTGAGGCCAAATCCACCTCTGTGGTAGGGGGGCAGGGAGAGAAAGATGTCCAGCTTGAGGGTAGAAGAGATGACTCCTCTTGGACATCCTCAGCACTCAAAGACATTTTTTCTTGGAATCTGGCCCTATCTAAAAGGTGCGTCCTGGGCTGGGGTGTGGTTCAGGGGTGGAGCATTTACCTAGCTCACACAAATCCCTGAGTTTTCTCCCCAGCACTGCAAAGAATCAATCAATCAATCAATCAATCATTCTTATCCCCACCCTGCCCTGTCTGGACTTCTCTCCTTCTCCCCTCCAGCCTGGCTGCTCTGACTGCTCTCTGTCCCCAACTCTGTGCATCCAGATATCCTCCCCCTCACCGCCCCCCCCCTGCTGCAGGGCTTGGCAAAGGCCCTCACGGGGATGGAGCCCCCACTGTGTCCCAGGCAGCCCAGCAGGTAGCTCACAGCTGGGGCCACAGGACACAGCCAGATAGCTTCCCATCTGCACTGACATCTTCCAGGCACATTTACTTGATCTTTCTGAGGCAATCCTAAGCACCCAGAAGGTGGGTCGAGTCCTGGGCTGCCCTTTCAGAAACTGATTTCAGAAAAAGCATTTCAACTTGTCTCAGACCTTTCACTCAGGAGGAGAGAAGAGCGGCCATAAAGGAGCTGTCACTGTGTGGGGGCAACCCATCTCCATTCACTTGAAATGTGACGTCCTCGGGCTCTGGGAGGACAGATCCCAGAGACACATGCTTGTGAGATGACTGAGGGAAAGTCAATCCTGCCGCAGTGGTTATTAGGCCCGCTCCATTTGGAGTGACAGAGGTTAATGTATCGGGCACCATCTGATTCAGGGCATTAATAATTAAATAGAAAAATGCCCCTGGATTCATTGCAGAGGAAGAGAACATGTAAATAAATCAGCTGGTCGCCCCCGCTCTCGTCCTGTCTATTAAGGAGCACAGGAAGGGAGCAAGGTTCTAGAGGTGGAGAAATGTCCTTCCTGACGGGGGCATGGGTGCTTTACACCATTGACTGGCGGTGGGGTGGAAGGGAGAGGGAGGCCAGGAGACGCGTCTCCCACACCTGCCTACAAGGAATCATCCTCAGGGCGCACCTGCCACAGCCTGAAGGGATCACGGAAGCACAGGGCGGTGCTGTGGAGGGCCCAAAGAAAAGAGACCTCAGCTGCAGTCTGCTGACCCCAAGCAGCAGAGGGATTAAAACTCCCATGGGGGGTGGGGGGTAGGGAGGAGGCTTCAGAAGACCTGGTGGGACTTAGGGTGGAGAGAACCTGGAAAGGTGGGGGCAGAGAGAGGGCAGTGCAGGGCGGGGACAGCATAAGGAAACATGGAGGTGGGACCATTCAGGGGAGCTCCAGCCTGCAGGGCAGCAGAGGCTGGCACTGCAGAGCGGCCGTGCTCAACATGGGGAACGCGGGAGGGCAGTCTGCAAAGCTGGCATCTATGGAACACAAGTCCCCAGAAATCTCTCAGATAAGGTTTCCACAAGTGAATAGGCTCTGAAAATGATGCATACTATGTCCTTGTCTTAAATATTCACCGCGCATCTTAGCAGACCTGAGGCTCTGAGAAAACTTAAAGAGACCTGTTTTTCTTTGTTTTACCCAGTTGTTCCCATGGAACTGTATTTAGTGATACAGCTTAATGAGCAGAGTAATTCATAATACCTGGTTTAGAAACTCTGCTTCTCTCCATCAGGGTCAAGTTTGAGGGAAGGCCTGGTCCAGGTCAATCTGTGTCCCTGCAGTTGTATTCACTGGTTTACATTTTTTTAAAAAAAAAATATTTATTTTTCAGTTGTAGTTGTACACAACGCCTTTATTTTATTTATTTTTATATGGTCCTGAGGATTGAACCCAGCGCCTCACACATGTGAGGCAAGCACTTTACCACTAAGCTACAGCCCAGCCCTGGTTTACGTTTAAGAGCCTTCTGTACCTGCCCACTGGGCATCTTAAGAGACTAACATCATAGGATCCGAACTCCCAGCCCAGGATTGTGCTCTGACCTGGGTTGACTCTGCAGGCTGAGCCATCTTAGAGATAATGGCATCCTCAGCAGGCCCCTGCCTTCTGCCAGGGGCCCGCCATCCCCAGCATCAGCACCTGTGGAGTCCAGCCTGTCTCCCCAGTGGCACCACTCACCTGGCCAGGAACTAGTTGCTCACATCAGTCATCATGCATAAACTGAGGCAGGGGCAGACGAACAGATGGCCTCTGCCCTGAGATCAGTTGATATGACCTGATGGTCCATCTGTGCAAGAATCCCTGCCCCACCTGCTTCACTTTTCCAACCTGCCTGGTCCTTTGACAATGCT